TAATATGTCGATATGGATCTAGACTCGGTATGGATACATCGTCGACGTTTTCGAAAAAATCATTCGATAAGTAAAAAGTGAAAAAAGGTGGGTAAGTGGATGTCGCTCTGCTGTACAGTAGGTTACAAGTGGGTCACTGTATAATTGATGCTATTAAATTTGAATTCAATGATACAATATCATTGTATAAGAAAAACGATTCTGAGCGAAGACGGTATGTCAGTCTAGGTTAAGACAAATTATATACATATCTATGGTATTAAAAAAAAATTGACCTATAATAAATTCCAAATTAATCATATCACATTATCACAATATCCATTAGGTACTTATAACACGTTATACACTAACAACAAACCCTGATACTATCATATATATATAATAGTAAACTTTAGAAGTTTCAAGTAGGTACCCACGAATAATATTATATAATCACAACAAAATAACTAGGTTTTTTAATATATAATTTCGTCCAAATTTGAAAATAAAATGACTATAAAAATAAACTGTGATTGTATATTTTTTAGATTTTTCGGTAAGAGAATTAACTACTTACGTGGAATCTTGTTTTAAATTTTCAATCCTTAGCTATAAAAACTGAACATTTTATAATTTATTAATTACGATGATTAATAATTTTCGAGATTTTGAAAAATTCTGTCAAAATTCGATGTTAAAATGCTTATAAAAAAAAATTGTGCCTATGTATTTTTAATATTTTTCAACTAATATTGTAACAATATATCAGGAGCCTTGTATTAAATTTTTACACTTTTTGGCCCAACAGATAAAACTTAATTGATATTTATAGAAAAAAAAAACTAAAAAAATTGAAAACTGAAAATGTCCGTAAACGGCTCAAAAAGAGTCAAAATATTTTCAAAATTGTATGGTGTATAGGAAATGCTAATATAAACATTCAGTGAAATTTTCATGTATCTACAGTAATTCGTTTTTTAATTACAACAAAAAAGGAAATTGCCACATGAGAAATCGAGTGAATATCCAATGTTGTAAAAATTTGAATTTCAAACGCTCATAAAAATTTAATTTGACTTTCCTGTAGAGATTTTTTTATTGATAAAGGTAGACAACCTTATGAGTAATCTTGTATTAGATTTTCAAATCTTAGATTTAAAAAGAAAAATTTTTACGAATTCTTAACTCAAAATAATTTGCTAATTTTCGTGATTTTTCCATATTTTGTCAATTTTTGAACTTTAAATGCTTATAAAAAAAAATTGTGACTAAGGATTTTTAATATTTTTCATCTGCCTTTGAAACAATATATTAGGAGATTTCTATTAAATTTTCAAGCTTTCGCAACCAACAAATAAAATTTTATTGATATTTCTAGAAAAAAAACTAAAAAAAAACTAAAAATGAAAATGTCCCTAAACTGTTCAAAATAAATCAAAATATTTTGAAAATGTTATCGTGTATAGAAGATGCAAATATAAACAACCAATGAAAATTGCATGTGCCTACGGTCATTTGTTTTAAAGTTACACCAAAAACCAAATTCAATTTTCTGAAAAATCGATTTTGCGTAAAAATTCCCGTTTTTCCTTAATTTTTCTTTTGTTTTTCCCGGCGCTCTTGAAAACTACTGGGAAATTTAAATTTTGACCTCCCCAATGCACCAACGATATTCACTTTCCAATCGAACAAGATACTGAAGTCGAAAATCGAAGCATTATTTCGACTACTTATCGTGTACACAGACACAAAAAAAATAAATATAAAAATAAAAAATAAAAAAAAAAACACACATCATTGTAAAATCAATACATTCATCGTTTCACTCAGAATCTAAAATGTAAAAATGTGCAAAAAACAAAAAAATAAATACTTAGGTATTTATCTCCGCTTGACACTCCTTGCCTTAAACAGTATACAATTCTAAGTGCCTGTTAGAAATTAATATAGTGCTTGCGTATACTTAAAAATGTCAAAAATCGGAATGTGGATAAACGCATTATTAAAAGATAAATGGCTGATGCTTCGTGGATCACCTTGTATATATTATTATAAAATATTATGCTGCTGTTAGCTTTCCGATCAATTAAGTTAAGCCACGCGTATAATATAAGTGCATGCAATATTTTTGTTTATACAGCACTTATAATATTATAACATCGAGTTTTCGATAACCCGTCAAACGAATGTAGTTTCAATGAAACCATGTTGTCGGTGGAAAATTCGTATTATATTATTCGAAAACCCCACGACTCATCATTACTCATTTTAGGTAGTTACGTCATAATCGTGATTAGAAAAATAGATTTTTACAAACGGTAAGAATAATAATGTAAACGGTGATAATTATGATCGTATGTATGTTTTTAATTTTCTCTTTTTCAACTCGCATAATATTATAAAATGTTTTGAGCCGCTAAATTTTTTTTCAAATAACAAAAAAAGAAATTTGAAACCGTTTGTTTACGCGGGATACTATATTAAATACATTGCATTCTTCGACTAAAAGCTATAGAGAAAATGTGTTTAAACTTTTTTTAAATTATAATATGCCCCTAACACTATATCGTCGTTGACACCAAAAAATCTCCCATGTGCTTAAAACTAATTTTTCAGGAGAGACGAAAAACGTTTTAAAAAATCACGAATCATCAATGATTAATGAAAATACATTTTAAAAACGTAATAAAATATACATTTTTATTCTGCAAAAAATTGAAGTAAAAAACTTAATATATATGTATTTATTTAACAAATTGTCAATATTTCATCACATAGGAGGTTATGTTAATTAATCTTTTTTGCCAAACAGTACATAGGAGGTTATGTTAATCAATCTTTTTTTGCCAAACAGTAAATAGGAGGTTATTTGAATAATAGTTGGTGCCAGAGAAATACTAATAAGACTTATTTTGAACGATTTTATTAAAAAAACTAAGTTGTGTTATCTAAGAAATAAATATTTATTAACAAATTATAATAAACTTGTATAAAATACTTAACATAATAAAACAAAATAACTTTAAAATTCATATTTATAATATTATCAATGTACTAACAAAACATAATTGTTAACTTTTATAAGATATAACTAATTATAAAATATAAAACATTACAACAAAAAAACAATAAAAAATAGTTAACCACTTTTTCAGTCCTGGTAATAAAATAAATAACAAATTATAGTTACTCAAAATACTTAAAATATACTTTTTAGAATTATAACAAATAAGGTAAAAGTTAAAAATAATAATGTAATAGTAACCAGTCTTTGGATTTCTTATTTTCTTATCATAGTTGAAAAAATATTAAATATTAAATTGTTATTATCATTTATGAACATGGAAAAATCTCCCATGTGCATATTTCATACACGACACTACATCTACTCTGCATGCCAATATCTCCAATGTAATTTTGACCAAATTTTTAATCACATAGGAGGTATTTCATAAACGATTTATGGTTGGTAACACATAGGAGGAATTGTATATTATTTTTCATTAATTCTACGATGGAGATAGCACATAGGAGTTTTTATCAAAATGACCGCCTATTTTTTCTGAATCCAGGGATACCAATATCTCAAAATCGAAAATTTGGCACATAGGAGGTTTTTTCGTGTCAACGACGATATTATGTCTGCAGCTGTATTTTAATTTTTAATATTTAATAAGATTTTTCGATGTTATGATATATTTTATATGCACGCTATCATATTATATTTAACTATTATAACTAGGTAATGCGATGATAACCACAAGGCCACAGTTACGATTATAAAACTACATTATACTATATTATATATTTATAAAATACAATGTCTCAATTTATTTAAAATACTGAAAGTAGTGTCTGTCTATAATACACTTATTGTGGTAAAAAAATTTCAGCTGTATAATTGCTTTTGAACTTTCAAGCTCAAAGATCAAATAGGTATTATCTAAATATACTTGACTTTTATCCGTTTTATTGTTAGTTCAACATTTTGAAAATTAATTAGCTTATGATTTTTAGCATAGAGGTATGTACCTATCTCCGTATGGGTTTAATTTAATTTGAATTTTAGTCGTACTGTCAATAAATCCGGCTTTAAGCCATTTTTCCAACCAATAACGAATAATTCGATTTTGAAATGTGTCAGATTTGATAAATCCGATCTTGCATTAATTTTAAAACTAAAACGATATTTCTTTCTTTTTTCTCTTAATCGAATTTTCAAAGAACATATTTTAAATTGATACACAAATTAAAGCCAAGAAGCCAAATTTAATTACCAATCAATATTAAAGGAAATAGTTATAAAAACATAAGATAAATCAATAGATTTCTTCATTTCTCAATGGTTATGAATATAATATATTTTTATAACGTGAATACAATGTACACGAGTTTATAAATGTACTTCTCCGTTTTATCATTATTATTTCGTCGTAAATTTATAGTTTATTATATTGACATTGAATAAGACCAAAACATATAATACGATCAGTGGCCATATTGCCATAACGTCGGTCGTGTCGTTGTGTTGTGATTGCATCTGATAACTCGTTTATTGCTCGACATATACGAAAATGGTCCGAATAAATATGTCTTTCGGCGTTTTTGTATAAACTTTCCGATAAAGTTCCGAGCGCAGAAAAGGTTTTCTTGGACTAAACGTCCATATCTGTTAACATAAATAATATACCATAAAATGTTCGATTGCAATCTATTGGGGGAAGTATATATTTTCATATTATATTATCTAAAAACATATGAAAGGAGTTTTCGATGAAATCATATTGCTATATATTTGTTGAAAAAAATGTCCAGGGATCCAAGTTAACCACAACCATAATACAAAATTATTTTTTTCTCATATTTTATTATAAAAAAAAAAAAACGAGCAATAAGATAGGTTAACATGAAATTATAATGACACATATTTCGTATTAAATCCTCCCGAGCGATCGTTTTCCATATCACCACATAATAATATATCGGTCTTTCAGTGACTAATAATTACATTTTTGTTTTAGTCGCCTTACCGGTAGCCGGAGAAGGACAAAATGAAAGTGTGACGACTGCCACCGAAATCCAAAGCACTACCGTTCTACCTGTAGATACCACGACCGAGAGTGTGTCCCCGACTGCCATCGAAGCAGTAGAGTCCACGACCGAGAATGCGGACCAGACCACCTCCGCTGTACCTACAAACACCACGACCGAAATTGTGAACGAGACCACTACCGAACCAGCAGAGACCACGACCGAGGATGTGGTCCAGACCACCACCGAAGATGTGGTCCAGACCACCACCGAAGATGTAGTCCAGACCACCACCGAGGATGTGGTCCCGACCTCCACCGAACCGTTAGAACTGACCACCAGTGAAGCAACAACGGTTGTAAATAACACGTTGCCTGCAGAAGTTATCAAGGACAAGTTGAGCGAACAGATCAGAAAAATTCTGAAACACTACCAGCACCCTGACCCCGTTGGCTTCCCAGGCGCCCCAATTCCCGATCCACTAAGCATACCCTCAATGAACAAAGATTTTGGAGTGGCTTACATGACGTTCAAAAACATGACCGTACACGGACTGTCCAAGTTCAAAGTAGAAAACGTCAACACCGACTTGAAAAACATGCGAGTAAGTGTTTTTCGATAAAAAAGAAAAACGAGTTCTGTCCATAATTAATATTGAGCATAACAATATTATGTCATCAGGAAGGTTAAACACTATAACTAGGGCTGGGAAGTCGATGAATTTTAAATTGTTTTCCAAAGCTTATACTGTGCAATGTTCGTAATTTGATAGATATGTTCTATGTACTTTTGAATGAGAGTAAGAAAGTTTATACTTTATTTTGCATTTTTTTTTAGTTTATAGGTTTATTATCTTAATTTTTTTAGGGAATTTAAAAATTGTTGGAGCATTTTGAGAGTTTTTGAGAACAAAATATGAATTTAAAATTTGATTTTAAGATTTTTACTCACCAACATGATTTTTATGCAACAAAATAACAAATTATAATGTAGGTACTCGTAATTCGTATTATATATTATCAGACCATCGATATATAGTTGAAACGTCAAAACCTAGATAACGATTCTAGGCGACGTCTACGGTAAAAGTTGATAAGATCTAGCTATCTGTACAACTTTTTTTTCAAATTTTTACTAATTTAAAATACTATTTCATAAAACAAAAATACTTTTGTAATATATTTTTGTTTTGTAATTTTTTGAGTTTTTCTAGTCATTTTTTAATTTTTTAAAGGAATTTTTTATGATTTTTGGGGCTTTAAAATCCCAACTATAACTATAAAACCAATGAACTAAAACTGCAGTAATATAACTCTTGAGAGTTGAGTTATTGAATTTATACAACTTACCAGGCCGTTTAAAATTATTACGTAAGACAAACTATATACATTTTCCACTAAGTATAAATTTTCAATTTTTCCTAATAAAAATACGCCAAGGTTCTTTTTACAACCTTACAATTTTACATCAATAGTGTTTCTGTTGCAAGTCCACGAAATAACCAAAATGTTGTATAATATTACGTAAGTATAGGTGAAACTAAATCGCAAATTGTATCATGCATACAGTTAGGTCGGAAACATACATAGTATCACTGTAACGGACAACAGGAGCGTTTTCACCAGTGATAGGGGGGGAGGTGGTTAATACCCCCTAAGGCTTATTTTTGTCATATAAAATGCAGTCGAATCCACTTAATTGGGACACTTCGAACGGTAATACTGATCTATTTGTCCCCATTGTCCAACTGTCCCGATTAACGGAATAGTTTTACATACGAATCATACGATACGCATTCAATCGGGACTGCAGTCATCAACGTCCCCATTAAACGGTTGTCCCCTCTTTGTAACTATAATCGGCGTTTTCCGCAATACAAATAACAACAGTAAAAAAAAAGCTGCTATATTACTTGAAAATTCCAAATCTTATTATGACAATAATCTTAATGAATGCATTATTTAAGTGCATAGTATTATTATGTCGTGGGGCTGAGCCTATCCAGTATCCGATGAATCCAAATGTCGCGTATATACTCTTAATTATTATTACTGTGATGGTACACGTTATATTGTCCGACTTCAATGGCGTCCTCAACTTTTTTGAAAGAGAGGGGGAGGAGAATATTAATTTTTTCTATTTTCAGACCATGAAATATATAATAATATGTTATGTATAATAATTATGTAATAATATATATAATATATATTTCATCTATCATAAAATACAGTCGAATCCGCTTAATTGGGACAGCACGATACATTGAAATTCGATATTCGGCCATATTTTCACAAGAGTTATGATATTATTATTATAACATAAATTGTATACTTCTATATACATATTGTCCATAATACGTCGTCGGTGTTTAATAATATATAATATAGGTACAGTCCGAGATTACCATTGCAATGCGGCACTCAATCGAGTCATTATTGGCATTCCGATGCGGTGCTCCGATAAAGTAAATATTTTATCCAAGTAGGTACCTAAACCTTTTCATACATGAATAATGATACGTTTTGACGCGTGAGTTCGTTTGAAATATACCCTCAGCTATTTGATCGTTTCTTTGAAACCGTATACCGTCAGTATGTTTATTGGCTTCGAAATACAAAGTTATTGTCAACAGAAATAGTTTATAATGGGTTGATATAATATAATATTATGTTGATTATAATATTATAATAATATGTCGATATATATTTTAGTTTGAACAATTTACAAATATTTCTATATTGTATAATAATCGTATACACTCGTATATTATTATTTTGTGCAGTGGTCAGGTCGGTGTACTACTTTTCATAATAGCTATATTGTTGTAACTCTCGTTTTATGCCGCACATATTTTGGTAACAATTAGAACTTATAAATGAAAATAATTTTTAAAAAACTGATTTTTTTGTACTACGGTTGGTTGGAAAACCTCAAGTGAGCAAAAATACTATTAGCTGTGTCAGATTGAGATTGCACTATTGCAGTCAATATTATAATCATGATCGTTGGTGGACATAGCTTACTGCTGCCCCTCGTGTATTCCAAATGGATTTCATGGTTAGGCCACCTCACGTATAGTGGTTTTTATATTCAATAGTTTTTTTCAAAGCCAACTCGTGTAAGCAAAATACAATTGATAATATTCACGGTTTCAAAATCTGTTTTAGCAGATGACATCAATAACATAGTTTTGTGATACCCGTATAGGATTATTATTATTTAACAACAAAGAATTAATCGAAATCGAATTCGAATTTGTGTGACACGTCTATAGCAAGGTAGAGTACTTTTATAACTAGAAATCTAATTCTCTAGGATAGTACATGGTCAATAATATTAGTCAATAACCTTCTAACGATATACCTAGCTTGAAAAATGATGAATACATTTTTCATTTAACTTTTCAAACGTTTCTTACACCAAGGGTACAGCTAGGTGCGGTATATACGTTACGCATTGTTTTCTATGAGAAAACCGATTAATGGGGAGAGGATAAAAGTATACCTACCATGAAGTACTGCTGAAAGAGAAAGCATAGTTATAGGGGTGGGGAAAACGGGAGGAAATCACAAAGGGATGTACAAATATATTAAGTTTTAGGTAACCTGCGATCTCTCTCATTATACGTTTCAACCAGTGTTTAAGTGGAGATGCGGAGCTCTGACAGTACAAATTGTGTTCACAGGTGTACGTGCTTTTGAAAATCAGACGAATGTACGTGCTGGGCAACTACACGCTGAGGTCGTGGCTGAGCCGACCGGCGTCGGGCCCGTTCAACGTGACGCTCATCGAAGTGGAAGCCGCCGCCGAGGCTGCACTCGAACCGGACGCTGACGGCAACCTGCAGGCCACCGAGACAGAGATGGACATGCAGTTCAAGGACTGCGAGCTGGACTTCAAGAACCTCGGGTTCGCCGCTTCCATGATGCAGGGCATCATCAGCTCGATGGGATCGGTGCTGTTCGAGGGCATCAAGCCGTTCATCATCAACGAGGTGAACACCAATCTGCGGGCGGACGTCAACGCCCAGGTGAAGGCCATCACTAGCAAGCTGCCCAAGATGACGGTACCAGTCCCAGACCTGGCGGTGGCCGAGGGCCGGAAGTACGTCCAGCGGATGGGCTATGACCCGTACCACGTCGAGGACCGGCACATCGACGAGGGCCCTCTCAACTTCACGATCACCGAGCTCACCGTGTCCGGGCTGTCCAACTTCCAACGGGTGGGTGACATCGGGCTGCAGATCCGCGGCCCTGTGCTTCAGATGGCCCTGCACGTCATCACCGGCTCTGTCAACGGGTCGCTGCGGTGGAACTACCGGCTGGGCCTATCCAAGACGTTCAGCCGGACGGGCGTGTCCAACTTCACCGTAGACCACATCCAGGTCCGGGCGCTGGTTAACCAGACGCTGGACATCCGCAACAAGCCGGTGCTGGAGAAGCTCGACATCGAGGTGGGCAAGATCGAGGTGCAGATGGACAGGAAGGAGCCGCTCGACTTCGTCATCGAAATAGCAGTCAATTCACTGCCGTCTCTGTTGCGGCACATCATCGTCGACGCACTCGAGGAGCCCATCAAGGCGAAGGCACAGACCATACTGGACGACGTCCAAGTCGAGAAAATGGTCGAGGACAGGCTGCCCGAACTCGACCGGATTGTCGGTGATTAATTGCACACCCGCCCGCCAACTCCCACCCGCCGCGCCATCACTCGTCACCCCTCCTATAGTCCTATTCCGCCCGCCCTTCTGCGACTTGCAAGTTTTTTTCTTTAAATATATTAACGATAAACGAAAATATAATATAAAACGCAGGTACGACAAGTAGGTAGGTAGGTCATATGCCGGTAATGTCTCTGTAGTTCTCCGCACCCAAATCTCTTTAAACGTCCTTTTCACCACCAGGCCTACTGTGTCCTATATTTAAAATCTTCCACTCGGTTTCCTTTCAAACCACAGTGGTTTTCTGGGTTTCGGTATCCTCTCTTTTCACAACATATTATATATGTCCTAACCCTTGACTAGACTTTATTCGACTGTCTCATTTGCCCGTCATTTCTCGCAGGCGTCTATCGTATAGAACCTATCTTCTCCTTCAGCTACCCTTGAGCAGCTGCCATTTCAAATTCTCGGACACATATTATTTACCTTGAAACTTCCAAGACATACAATTATTTTTCTATACCCATACGTAATTAAAACCAATTACGGCAACATCCACGTTCACTTTGATAAAATAAATTTTAATACAACTCACCCATCGCATCGTGTGTAAAGGTATCATACTTACAATTTATTTTTTATTTTTTATTAAGTAGGTATTTATGTTTTAGTACCTATGGATACTTAATATGTATATGTTAAATTATTAAATTAGCGTCTATACATTCCAAATGTTCAAACCGATTTCAATAATTCGATTAATACCTACTCATATAATATAATGTAATAATATTATTACATTGTTTACGATGTTTAATTTTATGTTCACGTAATAATAATGTTTCAAATAATAATATTGTATTATAATATTACCTACCTAACTAATATTGTAAATAACGATTTGTAATACTATTATAGCTAGTTTGATTAAAATGCACAACAGATTGCTTGTTACAATATATCATAAACTTAGAAATGCGTAGTACATTATTCAGACGATTCGTCGTTGAGATTTTTCCACGCAGACTTCATTGTTACGAAATGCGTGTTATTATGTACCTAGGTATACACTTCGATGTTTGTTTATTATCTATTACGATTGTAACATCCTATGAAAATATAATATACCTAATAAATAATAATAATATGTGTAACTATACGGACATTGTATTTGTGTGTAATTTTATCTCTGTTTCATCATTTGCAATAATTATAGAATATATAGGTCATATATAAATATATATTGCGTCAAGAGGGTTTTATTACATGGATATATTAAGTATAATAACATAAGTTACAACTTTTAACGTATAACCTATAACAGTTTTAAAATGTATTATAAAAATTGACCTTATACAGTTTAGGTAGGTATACATACCTACTATCTATTATACAATCGTTCAACACATTGTTTCTGTGTTACAATACTATTTATTATTACACAAGGGCGAAGGGCATTTCCCATTTTAGAGCCAAAATGCTGTTTAGGTATCTGTTTTGGGTACCTATGTGGTCCATCAACGCCAAAATAAAAATAAAAGGTATGTTTACAGCTCTTTTGGGCCAAACTTCCCTATGCACATAGGTACTTCTTATATTAATTTAACCACTGGAAAAGTGGTGCAAAGCAGAAAGTAGTTTTTAAGTAAGACAACATTTGGACGCTTGGCGTAGTAACGTAAATAATTTAGTGCTTAAAGTGGAAAATAAAGAATTGCTCATAAAGAGACTACTCAAGGATTACTAGACTACTAGAGACAGTAATAAGAGTTGGATTAGAAATAAATGTGGAAAAGACAGAGTTATATAATATACATATTATTATGTCAATATCTATGATAGCTCTGAGCTCATAGAGTGATTTTGACAGACGATATCCACACTCACTACTCATTAGTAGGTGGTATTATTTTTACAGATCGTGTACAGCTACAGTGCCCAATTTAAAGGGGGCATTAATAAGGGGCACTTGCCCTGGACCCTTAAATTTTAAAGCACAATTGATTTTTGAAAATAATAATTTAACTAATAATTTTATTGCATTGTACTTTTAAATTTTTAGTACCGTTATGGCCATCTTATTTGTTATTATAATAAAAATATACTATTATTTTCGATAAATTTATAAAAAGTGATAATTTATGCAATATTTTTGTTCACCTCATATAGTTTATTAACTATCTAACTTTACTTTTTTTTAACTTTTAAATGATTTTAAATAAAGAAAAAGTTTTTAGTGATGTAGGTATTATTTTTTTTTGTCATGTAAAACGCCTGATTTTAAGTAATGTATCTGAATGAAAAGTATTTTATACATATGCTTTAAGACAAATTGAACATAATATACTCTATACTGATTACATCATTACATATTATTATAAAGTGTAGGCCGCCGAATATTGCTTGCCCTGGCACCCCTAAAGCAACGCTGGGCGCATTAAAAAAGTTAAAATTAAGTTAAAACGTTAAGTTAATTAACTCGTTACTTTTTTTCAAATTAACTTTTAATTCAATAAGTTACTTTTTTTAAGATTAATGTGTTAACTTCAAATTTATTTTATTCAAAAGTATCTATATATTAAGTTAATTTTCATCTGAAGAATAATGCAGAGTTTTGAATAAGGTATTTACTTTGATAGTTTGATGTATCGTTTAAGTATTTTCTTCAGTAATTTTCTTGAGCGTAAAGAAGAACTAAATTATGTGTCTGGATTTTTTTTGTAAATTATAAAATTTTAACTTTAAACTAATAGTTAAGTTACTTTTTTTCAAAGATAACTTTAAACTTAACGAGTTAAAGAACAAAATATGAGTAACTTTTAACTTAACTTAACTTTACTATTTTAAAATAATAAAGTTATTAGGTATAGAGTGACTGTTGGACAAAGTTTACAACCCGAAAAAGAGGCCATGAACAAAACAATCAACAGCATTGTAAAACCGATAAATCTAATCCTTTACTTCATAAAGAATCTAAAAATAAATAGAAAATTTTCTTTTTAAAAGACACCTATAATATTAAGAGTATTAATGTATTATACCTATAAAGTAGGTTATCAACTTACTATAATAATGAAATGGACTGAAACTTAGCTATATGTGCCATCTAATGGTTTCATATCATATTATATTAGATCTAGACCGTTTAAGTAACTATATAATTCAGTATACCTATCTAATTACGATTAAGCTACGTTGTTTATCCTCTTCAAAGTATCGTAAATATTAAATATTGTTAAAAATGTTTTGATTTTTTAAATTTTTGTAGAAACATAAAATTAAATTTTAAATAAATGTTAGGTTACACGTGTAATGGAACAGATGTCACGGAACTAATATTTAAACTGCTAACTTTGGTTTAAAAAAATGTTACCTTTTCAAAATTATAATATTTGTCCAGAAATGATTTTATGAAGTGATCTCCGTTTTTGCTGGGGCACTGTGCTGGTCCTGCATAATATGAAAATAAATAATACAGCACACGGTTGCTTAATTTTTTAAAACAATAATTATTTTTGTTGCAAGAAAATTTGGTTGGACATAAAAGGACGCATATTGGCGAGAAATCATACGTACACGTAGGTATGTGCAACGTTTGTGGCAAATCTTTTTTGCAAAATTTCTGAACATATATTGTGGAAAATTATCTATGCAACAGAGTGCCCATATTTTAGATAACATAAATACAATAAAAGTTATTTGCTTCTAAACATTTGGTTTTTTCATTTGCTTATAAAAGATGATTGGATAGTGCTATTAAAAAAAAGAGCACGTTGTTGCACAGATAAAGGTCTTCTTTACGTGTTGTGAAAATTTGGTATTTCTTCAACAAATATGGTGCGAGAAATTTTGTCCCGCGAAAATGGTATTTGCTATGTTGTACATTTGAGCTGTATATGGACATAGTCAGTTTTCAACTTTTTTATTTTTTTTTCTATAAATATCAATAAAAATGTATTTGTTGTTTAAAAAAGCATGAAATTTTAATTCAAGGCTCATGAAATATTGTTACAATAGCAGTTGAAAAACATTGAAAAGTGAAAATACATAGTCACATTTTTTTTTTATAAGCATTTAAAGTTTAAATTTTGACAAAATGTATCAAATTTAAAATTTAATAATTATTTTTAGTTAAACATGTATAAAATGTTCAAGTTTAATAGCTAAGGATCAAAGATTTAGAGAAAGGTTCCACGTAAATAGGTTATGTATAAATTACTTTATTCACAATAATATCATCAAATATACTTAGTAACATCATAGGCTGACTGACTATTCGCTCAGAATCGTTTTTCTTATACAATGATATTATATCATTGAATTCAAATTCAACACCATCTATTACAGTGACATACTTTTAACCTACTGTACAGCAGAGCGAAATCCACTTGACCACCTTTTTTATATTTGATTTATAACAATTTTAATATTTTTCCTTTTTTTAGTACCTGCATAGTGCATGTTATTGCTATTTATTATTAAAATAAAATTTTAATAATTTATATTTTTAATGGAAAATAAACTAAAAAAATAAACTGTAAAAAAACATTTTTAACCATACCTTTAGTCTAAATAGATCATAGACAGCCCTAAGTCTGTTAAAATGGGAAGGAAAATTATATTATGTAGTAGCTATACTGACCAAAAAAAAATTAAGAGCCCAACTAGTGTTGTACCTGTGAAAATTCCGGACCCAACTATAGTGTAGTACGTGCAAAAATCAAGGACTCAACTATATAGTATACCATTTTTGAATTCGGGACCCAACTCGCATGCAGCCCAAAATGTAAGAACAGATAATGCATTTTCAGTATTTTAATTAAAAGCCGTACAATTTTGTGGAAAAATTATATATTATTGTAATTTCCCATCCAGGTTGGTTAGTTTCTGTACTTGTACTACTACTGCTATGATTTTTAAATCAAAACTATTTAAAAATACAATTTTTTTATGCGTCAAAACAAAAAAAAATCACCAATTCATTTAATGAATAACCTTTCCATTTGGAG